ATTCCAAGGGTTTATTCCTCTGGATGAGATGCAAGGGATTGCATCCTTGGTGTAGGATAAGCAGCTTGGTGCTGCTGCTGCTGTTTGGATTAAAGAAAGGGAATGTGTTGATTTCAGAGATGGGAGATATCATAAGAAATGCTTTGTAGAGATCCAGGCTGGTAAAGGAATCGAGTCTACTGCTCCCTGCTACTTCAAAAGGTGTTCAAGGTTATACAAGGATGGATGGGCAGGCGGACACAAGCCAAAATGCACTTTGATGTCACATTTCTGAACCAAGTTCCATTCCACATTGTACTTTTTCAGCTGTCATGCCATGGATATTTTCAGTTCATGGCTGTTTAAGAAGCGTTCCACAAGGGTGAACCATTTTACATGGCCCTAAACCCGATTGTAAGCCTGCATTGTAGCTACATTCCAGAATTAAAGCATTTTGACACCACTTTAACTGTCACGAATCTATCCTGTGGCATCCTGGGATTTGTAGTTTGGTGAGGCACCAGAGCTTTCAGACAGACCAGGCTGAATACCTCACCTAATTACAAATGCCAGGATAAAGTCACGGCAAGTAAAGTGGTGCCAAACTGCATTAATTCTCCAGTGTGACTGCACCCTCCACCAGTGGTTTCCAAACTTTGGTCCTTCCGATGTGTCGGACTGCAGAATTCCTGACTGCTGACCAAGATGACCAGGGCTTCTAGGAGGTGAAGTCCCAAAATATCTGGAGGACCAAAGTTTGGGAACCCCTGCCCTAGATTTATCTATATGTTGGCTCAACTGATTTACCGGATCTACTCTAGTTGGAGCTAACCAACTGGATTCCAGCCATGCATTCTGGGATGGTGCATCATTATTTGATAGGGCTTTCATGGTACCTCTTTGTTTCCTGGGATTGCAAAAACAGTCATTGAGTCTTCCTGTGACACAAGGGGACAATAAGCAAGAACACCGGCAGATACACAATTGATTGCACAATGGTGATAGTCAGCACAAGGGTGGTGTGGTGCAATCCAGACAACTATGTGAATGTCGACTTACTTTGCAGGACCTCAGCATCAAGTCTGGTGCCACTTGTCCCTGGACAAGGCCAACCGTCCTCTAAGCACCAACCTGTTTTAGAACAACAGCTGAAGTTAAGTCCCATCTGCCAAATCAGACCCACAAGACCTTGGGAAATCGGCAGGGAAAGTCTGAGAAATGGGATTCAGATTTCATCCAAATCTGAGAGCATGTAGTGGGCTGAAGAATTGGACTAAGACTAGGGAGTCTCCTTCTTTGGAGGTCTTTAAACAGAGGCTGGATGGCCATCTGTCAGGGATGCTTTGATTTTGAGTTCCTGCATGGCAGAATGGGGTTGGACTGGATGGCCCTTGGGGGTCTCTTCCAACTCTGGGATTCTATGATTCTAGGGAGGCCCAGGAGCAAAAATCTGCTCAAACATAAAGCTGATTGTACAGTGGGCCCTTAGTATCTGCTAGGGTTTGATTCCAGGAACTGCCATGGGTACCAAAACCAGTGGATGCTCAAGTCCCATTAGGTACAATGGTGTGATAAAATGGTGTCCCTTATATAAAATGGCAAAATGGGGGATTGATATATTTTTTGAATATTTTCAAGCCGTGGATGCTTGAAACCATGGATAAAAAAAATCTGTGCATACAGATGGCCGACTGTATAACCATAGTCTAGGCAGCTTAACTTACTCTGCAATGTTCTCAAAAGTGTGGTAGGCATAGATGGAAAACCTAAATTAGCTATTCACACTTATGACTGGTGATGGTTATTTCTGTAGCAAGTATCCTATTTTCTTTGAATTCAACCAGGGGTCAAGCTTTCTGTTTTGGCAAAGTTTTGCAAAAAGGTGATGAGCTCATTAAGGGCATACAGGGGTTTGACTTAAAGAATAAGCTTTCGCCAATGAAATGCCAAGTTGTGCCTTATACGTAATGTATAATGTAAAGTCCAGCCTGCTACTGTTAAAAATGATATAAAATAAGCTGCTTGAGCCCAGCAAAGGGCTCTCAGTACTTTTGGAAAATATTCCGACTGAGGGTCTTTGGCCAAATAAAGTCTGTTTTCCTTTCCTACCTTGGTCTCGGTTCTAAACATTAGGAAGAACATCCTGATGGTAAGATGGTGAGAGCTGTTCAACAGTGGCCTCATGGAGTGGTCGAATCTCCTTCTTTGGAAGTTTTTAAATAGAATCATAGAATCATAGAATCCTAGAATTGGAAGAGACCCCAAGGGCCATCCAGTCCAACCCCATTCTGCCATGCAGGAACTCTCAATCAAAGCATCCCAAACAGATGGCCATCCAGACCTCCAAAGAAGGAGACTCCACCCCACTCTGAGGACTTATTTCTAGACTTATACATGAGTATATACAGCATGTTTTGGATGCAGATAGCCTAAAAGTAATTATTCATCATGGGTTTTTTAAAAATAATTTTGTGCATGAAATAAAGTTTGTGGACGCTGAACCAACAGAAAGCAAAGGTGTCTCCATCTCAGCCACCCGTGAAGAAAAAGTTTCAGAGGATTTCAGATCCAGATAAGGGAGACTCAACCTGTATTGGCCTAAACTTCCCAGCATCTGGATCCAGCAAAATAAACACAAGGGACTGGCATACACAAGAATGGATTAAGGTGACTGGAGCCATGGAGCAGCTCCTGTTTTAGGAATGGTGGCATAGAAATTGAATGAATGAATGAATGAATGAATGAAAGGTGGATGACAGACAGACAGACCGATCTCTTATCGTCAGCAGAGGAAAAAGTATGATACATAGTACAGTATGTTCCTTCGAGTCCTCTGTTGATGTATAGGGATGCCATGAATTTCATAGGGTTTTCTTTTGCAAGGAATACTCAGAGGAGGTTTGTAATTGTCTTCCTCTGATTTTAAAAACCAGACTTAAAAAAGACAGGTAAATGGAAAGGAGTATAAACACATCAGACACTGCAGTATAAAAATATCCTCAAACACATCACAAAGAAGGGAATTGCATAAATAACCCGGATATAATATAATAGGAATATGTGTGTGTGTGTGTGTGTGTGTGATATATATATATATATATATATATATATATATATATATATATATATATATATATATATATATATATATATATATACACACACACACACATATATATTCCTATTATATTATATCTGGGTTATTTATGCAATTCCCTTCTTTGTATACTTATATACATACATACATACGCACACATACTACTAGTAGAAATATAATTAATGGAGAGTTTATAGACATCTGGTATCCTTATAAAATCTTCTCAAAATTTGCAATGATGAATTCTGAAGAAGACACTGTATTGTTAAAACGAACACTCTGTAAAATCTCTGTTAGTTATATTTCTACTTATGGAGTATGTCTGCGCACACTGCAGAAATAATCCAGTCTGAGACTGTTTTAACTGCCCTGGCTCAGTGCTAGGGAATCCTGGGAATTGTAGTTTTGTGAGACATCCAGCCTCCTCTGTCAGAGAGCTCTGCTGGTGCAATAAACTGAAGGTGCATCTACGCCAGGGGTAGGCAACCTTTCCCCTTTAAGGGCCGAGGGACTTCAGCTCCCAGAATCCCAGGAGCTATTTACCAACATGGGACTATTGGCCAACATGGCTGAGGCTTCTGGGAGCTGAAGTCCCTTGGCCCTTAAAGGGGAAAGGTTGCCTACCCTTGATCTACGCTGTAGAAATAATGCATCTGCATACCACTTTTAAGTATTGTAGTGCTATCCTATGGAATCGTGGGATTTGTAGTTTGACAAGAGCTTTAGCCTTCACTGCAAAACTAATAATCCCAGGATTCTGTAGGATGGAACCATGGATGCTAAAGTGGTGTCAAACTTCATCCTTGCTGCAGTGTAGATGCACCCTGAGAATAACAGAATGATCGCCGTGCATTGAGACGCAATTCATCAAAACACAAAGGCTGGGATCCTGTTGGTGTCTTACACTTGTGTAGGTTCTTCTACAGAAATGGTTGGACATGGATATTTCTATTCAACCGGAAAGATCTGCATTCACGCCAAGGTGGCGGAAGAAGAATTATGCCAATGGTACAACTGCACATGCATGCATATGGTTCATTGTGTTGCACATGCAGCATTTCGATTCACTTGCACAATGCTCCCATTTCATACAAGGGTTGCGTTGCACAATTCAGGCATCTCCCTGCATGTGGAGATTGAGGATCTGCTGATAATAACAGAAAAAACTAGGAGATTCAGGAACTGGATCTCGATTTGAGAGGAAGCAAACTACACCTTCTGCTTTTGTTGCTGGATCCCACACCTGTGGATCACCTGCTAGATCAATTGCACCAGATGGACTATTAATGCTCTGACCTAGGGCTAGTCTACATATAAGTACATTATATGCATTGCTGTGTATTTTTGCATGATTGTCTTCCTGCGCAAATTCACATGCATTCACATCTATTCGCCCTTGCACTGCTGAGAAAAAACTCAAGACCCCAACCTTAATCTTATTATGTTTATTTCAATATTGTATTTATTTTACGTTTGTAAGCCGCCTTGATTGCTTAGGCAAAAGGCGGGATATAAGAAATAAATTATTATTATTATTATTATTATTATTATTATTATTATTATTATTATTATTATATACCCGGCTATCTGAAAACATGCAAAGCAGAAGGATAGCCATATGTGCGATAATGCACATTTCTGGACTTCTGCCATAAAAACCACGAAATTGAAACTTCTGCAGCATTTCAATTCCCTCTTGCAAAAAGTCCAAACTCCTGCAAATTCTGTGTGGCTGGATTGTATTTTATTTGTCTGGAATGAGGAGGAGTATATTAATTGTGTAGATTAGGAGATCCATCCTTTTCCAAAAAGTCCTCCTATCTTTGGCCAACATAGTGCAAGAGGCCAAATTCTTTTCAAGTCACTTCTTGCATTTCCATCCCTGGCCTTTTGTTAATTTAAGCCCACCTTATTTTTGGGGAGAGCCAATCTGGCGTAGTGGTTTGAGTGTTGGACTACGACTCCGGAGACTAGAGTTCGATTCCCAGTTGGCCATGAAACCCACTGGGTGACCTTGGGCAAGTCACACTCTCTCAGCCTCAGGGGAAGGCAAGGGCAAGCCTCCTCTGAACAAATCTTGCCAAGGAAAACCCACGATAGGTTTGCCTTAGGGTCGCCATAAGTCTGAAATGACTCGAAGGCACACAACACACACATATATACAATTTTAGGGGAGGAAAAGGGCCCTGGATGGATGGACGGAGATGGAAGCACAGTTATTTCGATGATCACAATCTCGCTGCTCTGTTCTTATCAAAGGCAGTCAAGAGAAGATCAAGGCCTCTCCTCCTGCCAAACAATTATGAACGCTTTGCTTTCATTGCTGCTCATCTGAGCTGAAAAAGGAAGGTTTTTCCCTGGAGAGAAAGCAGATCAGGGATGTTCAGGACCTTGGACATGGAACCACAGACAGAGAGGAGAAGGATCAGAAAAGCCCCTCATTCCTTAAATCCTAAATTCCTTGGAGGACAAGGAGGGCCAGCTTGGAAGCCTTCCAGGAAGATACATCAATTGCTGCTAAACCCTAACAAAACACAACAACTGCTTTGTTTTTTCTCCTTGGAGAATTCATGGTAGACAACTGGGATCATGTTAGACCTAAAAAGCTGGAATTTGTATACTCTCCATAGCCTTCCTGGCAGTTTTTCAACCTATGAATCATAGAAACATAGGAGGTTATCACACGGGGGCAAATCTGCTGGTTAACCCACACAAATCCCAAA